TGTATCAGTAACACANCCTCTTATTATAAAACTTAATAACCACACCGAAAATAACATAAAATACAGCCAGTATCAGTAACACATCTCTTGTTATAATAATACTAAATAACCATACTGAAAATAACATAAAATACAGCCAATATCAATAACATATCTCTTGTTATAATAATACTAAATAACCACACTGAAAATAACATAAAATACAGCCTGTATCAATAACACACCTCTTATTATAACACTTAATAACTATACTGAAAATAACATAAAATACAGCCTGTATCAGTAACACACCTCTTATTATAAAACTTAATAACCACACCGAAAATAACATAAAATACAGCCAGTATCAGTAACACATCTCTTGTTATAATAATACTAAATAACCATACTGAAAATAACATAAAATACAGCCAATATCAATAACATATCTCTTGTTATAATAATACTAAATAACCACACTGAAAATAACATAAAATACAGCCTGTATCAGTAACACACCTATTATTATAATACTTAATAACCATACTGAAAATAACATAAAATACAGCCAATATCAATAACATATCTCTTGTTATAATAATACTAAATAACCATACTGAAAATAACATAAAATACAGTCAGTATCAGTAACACACCTCTTGTTATAATAATACTAAATAACCATACTGAAAATAACATAAAATACAGCCAGTATCAGTAACACACCTCTTATTATAACACTTAATAACTATACTGAAAATAACATAAAATACAGCCTGTATCAGTAACACACCTATTATTATAACACTTAATAACTATACTGAAAATAACATAAAATACAGCCAATATCAATAACATATCTCTTGTTATAATACTTAATAACCACACTGAAAATAACATAAAATACAGCCAGTATCAATAACATACCTATTATTATAACACTTAATAACCACACCGAAAATAACATAAAATACAGCCTGTATCAGTAACACACCTATTATTATAACACTTAATAACTATACTGAAAATAACATAAAATACAGCCAATATCAATAACATATCTCTTGTTATAATACTTAATAACCACACTGAAAATAACATAAAATACAGCCAGTATCAGTAACACACCTCTTATTATAACACTTAATAACCACACCGAAAATAACATAAAATACAGCCTGTATCAGTAACACACCTATTATTATAACACTTAATAACCACACCGAAAATAACATAAAATACAGCCAGTATCAGTAACACATCTCTTGTTATAATAATACTAAATAACCATACTGAAAATAACATAAAATACAGCCTGTATCAGTAACACATCACTAAACCAAATGATTTTTTTCTAGATAGAATCAATGGTGGTATTTTTGATCATGTCTAAAGTCAGCCTAGAGGATTGATCCAGATTAAAGCCTAGAGAAAGTATTTATAGTTTACCTGGTATCAAGCTGACTTTTGCTAAACAAAAACTAATAACAAACACTAATAATTTATCAGCTAAGGGATCAAGATGTGTACCAAATGCTGTTTTCTGGCTTGGAAAGGCTCGAGCTATGTGGCCATCCAACTGAAAAAAAAAATTAGCATGTGAACTTGAATAGCTGCATGTACATTAAACAATATGCAGATATAAATATTAGACTAAAACATTCATCCAATTCCCTTCCATTCTTATTTGTGGATGGGCTATAACAGAATTGTGGTCATGGGTTCTAATCTCAGTCATCATGTTAAAGTCTGGTGACCTCATATAAGTCATCTTTACTCATTATTCCAATCGACCCTGAGCTGCGTTGATGGGTAACTTTCATCCAGGAAAGATCATTGCCAAGAGGATTGGCCAATGTTAAGAAAGGATTCTCTGGTGATCCTTATGGTTGTTTCTTGCCTTCTTGTTTTTTTCTTGTATCCTTTAACAGACAGCCAAAGACCGGGAAAATCTCTTCAAGCTTGCTGAGAAACCATTATTCTTAAGAAATAAAAACCCATTAACTTACCACATCAGTTATACCAGCAATAACTAACAGACCTAAAGACCATTGATACGAATGACTGGTTATCAGGTAGCCTAATACAGGAGTAGAACCTATTCTGAACATGGTTAATAAATTAGGTATGGTATATATATTTTCTTTCTGAAAAATAATTAGTTTCCATAATCAAATGATATCTACCTAAGTAAACTGGGTCCCAAATAATAATTCTCTAGCCCAAATTTTTTACTTTTTTTCTCTGCTTCAACACATATTGACCGCTAATGAACATATTAGTTTAATGCTTAAGCTGCAGACAGACTGGGCGAATTTTCACGGTGAATGGTTTGGACAAGTCAATCGCCAGTGTATCCAGTCCCAGTGCTACAACATTTTGCCCGATCATCGGCTGAAGCCATTCACCAACATCAAGCATGTTTGACATTATTTGCTCGAATAATCATTGCCCTCGTCTCGTTCTGCAAG